CCTTGCTAATGTTTCACTCATTGCTTAGTAGCTGAGGACCAAAATGTTCTCCAGATACAATGAATCACTAGGTTCCTTGTTTTCTCAGCATTTCTTGCTCCTGGGAGGGAAGAGCATTAGAAATGGGATAGGTTCTTAGGTTATCAGTCTGAGTCCCAAAACTGTAAGTTATTTTTTGTTGTAATAAGTCTCAAGTTTGGTTTATTTATACTAGGTCGTCCATTCTTCCATAGCTCATTCTGGAGAGAGGTTGGAGCAGCCCTTATAGTCTGAAGAAATATAGTTCATGTGAGGCCATAGGATTGCACCAGTCTCAGAAAACTCATCAAGAGGAAGAGATCTGTGTCCCTAGGGCTTGCAGTTAAATACTGGACTCTGCAAATTCCCAGCATGTGTGTCCATGCGTGCTCTGTTTGCACTGAGCTTGCTCTGCTTTCTCAGATCCTGTACAGGTGTGTGAACACTGGCTGCTCGTGACCTTGGAAAGTCAAGGCTTCAGGCAGAAACAGACAGTACCGAAAAAGAAAAAAGAGGAAGGAAATAGTGATTTGACAGTCTGACAGCAACACATCCCCTTCGGGTTGGTGTGGGGCTGAGACGATCTGTGCGTGCTGGTGGTTAGAAATGCGTTTGTGATCGGATGTGCATGTGGCTCTATTAAATGTGCACGTGCATGATATCTATAATAGGGAAGTATTATACATATTATGCGTGTTTAAGGAAATAGATGATTTTAAGAAGACAACATTTGGCAGCGGTTCAAAAAAGGAAAAAAAAGGTGGTAGTGAAATACTTCTGATTTGGTTGCAGCTTTTACAGCTGTACATGGCTGGTCACCAGCTCCTTCTAAGTGCTATTGTGAAGGGTTACTGCAGTTTCATTGAGCCTGCACAAAGCGGGAGGCTCTTCCATGCCCTCCGAGCAAGAAAAAACAGAGCCTTGAAGCCTCTGGTTTGAGGAAGATGCTTCAAGTTAATTTTCTGTGTAAGGCATCAGCTGCTGAGACTCTAAATTTTGCAGATAAACCCCACTAAAGAGGAGGAGAAAACAAAATGGCTGAACTTCTCAAGTGCCCCTCAGTTCTGCTTTGCTACTGCTGCTCGCTTTTCTTCTTAAAGCCAGAAAAAGATACATAGGGATTTGTGAAGTTAGGCATCCTGTGGAAAAATTCAGCGTCTCCAATTCTCCAACTGAGGAGCAGAAAATTCATATTAGAAATCCTTTCCGCTTTGGCTACGTCTAGATTGCTACCAGGAACTTTTAAGTCTCTAAATCCAGCGTTGGCACCGTAACTGCACTGATGCAGAGCTCAGAAAAACCCCTCTGGAAATCTACCTGGGCAGGCAGCCTGCATCGAGCTGCCGTGGTCTGGGCCAGCTGGTGGTACCCCAACTGGCTGGGTCAAAGTTTGCTCTGGTGACTCCATGATGGCTGTGGTCTTCACTCAGAAGTCTATCTGTTCTCACCTAAGGAGGTCTCTCACCAGTTGACTTTTCCCAAAGAAACACTGCCAACTGCCTTATACATGAAATTTTCTAAGCATGAATATTTAATAAGAAGGGATGATTTCTAAATTCTTCAGGCTGGAGCCGGGCGATCTCCTTGGCCGTTGGACCTGTTTTGTATTTTACAGTCTTGTCACAGAAAGTCATTCCATCTTTTTGATGTGTGCTCCAGGTTTGTCTCTGCAAATATAAATGTGCCGGGACACTCCTACACAGAGAGTCTCTCCTTTGTAGGCATTAAAGGTCAGTTGTAAATGTTCTGGAGGAGCATGGCTGCGTTAAAGGCCACTCCAGCATGAACAGCTTGGTCTGTGTTTAAAAAGTGACAACTGGTGCTTTAAGAGAAGAAAATAACTTGTTCCTGGGTATCTTCTGGTGAAAGAAACTGGTCAAAGTTGCCTCATTTGTTTCACGTTTCACTAGAATTGTTCTTTCATAGTCCTTGGCCATTATCAGTCATTCTGGATAAATGACATCCCACATCTCTTCCAACTTATGTACCACCCCAAAAGATGAATCCCACATTTGTTTTACTTCATATTCAATGGGATTTTTTTCTTCTTCTTCGGCTGGGTATGTCATGATTAATAAAAACATAGAGCCCTGGAGCAGGCCAGCTTCTCCTAGAGACTCGTCTCGCTCAATTTTTGCAAACCCACTTCAGATACCAGTAAACTGCAACCCTTTTTTCCGTGGGTGTTTGCAAACATTAATGAACTAAGTCTCACAGCCAATCCCATATGCTTGAGACATCTTATCCCTTATGTGGCGAGGCATCTGAGCCACTGATGAATTTAAGTAAAACAGTTGGATGTGTAACCCCGGTTTGCTATCGCTGCCATGTGTCTCGTCTGCAGAAGAGCTCCATCTCTCTTAACCTCTTTTCAGATGGAAAAAGATATTTTGTCCAGCAGCCAAAGGGAAATGCAAGCATCCTGGTGGAAAACAAGCTGTTTCAAAACCCTGGCTGCAAGCTACCCACACATCACAGTTGTCAGCCAGGCTGCACATGCATAGTTACAGGGAATAAAATAGAGAGGACCTTCTGTTCCTATTCAGAAAGGTCTCTACCCATTCACCTACACCAAAGGATCATCATCAGCTGCCAGTATTAATTTGTTCTCCTATGTGGTTTTCCAGCCAAAGGAGGGTAAAATAAGTCTAATTCTATCCAGCAGGAGCACTTGTAATGCAAATGCTAGCCCATATATTACAAAGCATTAATGCGACCCACTTCTAAATCACTTGGGGTGATTTCCGATTTTATTTATTCCTCCTTTTCTTTAATTAACTTCTGGGAAGAGAGGCTAAAATATAAGTATGGGGAAAATCAAATATGAGAAACAAAGCCCATTTATATTTTGAGACTGTGCTTCCCTTGTAATAGCAGTTTATTTAAAGAGGAGCCTGGAATGATCCAGTTTAAGCAAAGCAAAGAGCTCTACTGAAGCCAAACTGTGTGTGGGTGTGCTCTTGTCAGGGCTCCCAGAAGAGGAGAGCAGGAAAGGCTGTTAGTCAGACCTCAGATATTGCAGGAGATGTTGGTTATTCAGTAGCTGGCATTTTTCCTTGGCATACCAGTACAGAGCCACTACTCTGGTGCCCCAATGGGGCATCCCATTGGGGAAATCCTCAGATAACCTGAGGTGCTGCTCTTTTATTTTCATAAAAGAAAATCCCGAGGACAAGGTGTCCACTGCAAGGGCCCAGCAGGTGGGTTAGGAGCGAGCCTCTGGTCTTCTGCTCATCTTAGAATCATAGAATTGTCTGGGTTGGAAAGGACCTTTCAGATCATCCAGTCCAACCATCAACCTAACTCTGATAAAAACCATCACTAACCCCTGGCTCTAAGCACTATGGCAACCCGGCTTTGAAATCCCTCCAGGGATGGGGCCTCAACCCCTGCCCTGGGCAGCCCATTCCAAGGCTTAAGAACCCTTTCCGTGGAAAAATTGTTCCCAATCTCCAATCTGAACCTCCCCTGGTGCAACTTGAGGCCGTTTCCTCTTGTCCCATGGCCTGGGACTTGGGAGCAGAGACCGACCCCCCCTGGCTACACCCTCCTTGCAGGGAGTTGGAGAGAGCCAGAAGGTCTCCCCTCAGCCTCCTTTTCTCCAGGCTGAACCCCCCCAGCTCCCTCAGCCTCTCCTCATCAGACTTCTTCTCCAGAGCCCTCCCCAGCTCCGTTGCCCTTCTCTGGACCCACTCCAGCCCCTCAATGTCTTTTTTTTGTGGGGAGGGGCCCAAAACTGGTCCCAGCCCTCAAGGTGGGACCTCACCAGTGCCCAGTACAGGGGCATTTTGTCACTCTACTTTGTTCTGTGTTTGCGGCAGGTCCCAGGCTGGGGTCTGGTGGCCTTGCTTTGTGCCACCTGTGGAGGATTGTGTTGTATGGGGTGGTCCCACCTCCCACCATTTGGACCCAGGTGGGAAGCCACAACAGTCTCATAGCTTATTAGTACATTTGCAGAGAATTATCCACATGCTCGATTGTCTCTCGATGCTATGGGCTTCTCAGAGTTCAGAAAGTCAGGCATAAGGATAAATCTTTGCATTCTCAGCTTACTTTTATAATCTGTTTAAATAATGGCGTTTTTTTTCCTCAGTATATTGCTCTTTAAAATTTCTATGGCAACAGCATAGCTAAGGATATGTTAAATAAAAGTAATTTAGGTATTAAAGGCAGGGTGATTATGTTCCTTAGAAAAAGAATCAAATAAATTGATGATTAGCTCTTGAAACAGCAGGTGAGACTAACAAAGAGGATAAGGTGCAATTCTAATTCTGTTTCCACTGGTGGATTTGAATGTCTAAGCATCATCTTTCTTCGTTATATATCTGTGTATTTGATTTTTAAGTATTTGGCTTGGAGATAATAAATGATTTTTTGTTATTTATAGAAAACTGCATATTCCCAAGTTCTGCACTGTGAAATCCCTATTTGTACTGATTTGCAGTAAGCACCAGAACACTAATGATTAATTATATACAGGAATATTAATTAAATCTCATATGATGATAAATAATAAATTAGAGCTGAACATATCATTTTTTTAAATAAAAATATAATATGTATAGTTAGATATTTATTTCCTAGATCTATGAGAATTACTGTAGATGATAAAGAGGGCACGAAAACTCGGAGCCTGTATGGATGTTGATTGGTACGTCCAGAGTATATTTCAGATATTTACCCTCTGCTTCCCCTCTCCAAGGAGAGCTCTCCCTGGTCAATTCTTTCCATCGATTTCTAGTCTGCCTGCTCAGGAGCTGAAAGTGTTGATGCTGGTGGGGAAAGTACAAGAACAGCAATCGATTGCAAATACATTTTACGATACTCTGCTTCCATATTTTAAAGGGGAAAATTTATTAATGGCAGCCGGTCTCCGTTTTTTCCCTTTTAAACGTATCTATCAAACCGAGAGCCATTTGCAGACTCCTGGGGGTTTTAATTTTCTCTGCAGTGACCCCTTTTTGTTTCCTCTCTCCCCACAGACAGTGAAATCATTCCTCCCGACTGCCTGCGGCCCCGCTCCTTCACCGCCATCCGCCGGCCCTCCCTGCGGCGGGAGACGGAGGACACGCGCCTCTCGGTCAGCCTGTGCGACCTCAACCTGCAGGAGGAGACCTTCCACGTGACGGCCACCACGTGCCCCATCCCGCAGAACTCCCTCAACTCCCAGCACTCCCACCTCCTCCCCTCCCAGCTGGAGAGCGACCTCCGCTTCCACCACCTCCGGGGACCCCATGTCAAAATCCTCGATGACCAAACCGTGGCCCGCCTGGAGCACGCCCGGGAGGAGAGGACTTTGGTTTTCACCAGCAGACCCCTTCGGATCAACGAAACCATTTTCGTCAAAATCAACAAGTCCAACGCCGTGCGCACGGGGACGTTGTCCTACGGGGTGACGTCCTGTGACCCCAGCACCTTGCGGCCCAGCGACCTCCCCTATAACCCCGAGTCCTTGGTTGACCGAAAGGAGTTCTGGGCCATCTGCCGAGTCGTGGTGCCCCTCCAGAGCGGAGACATCCTGGGATTTATGGTGAATTCGGATGGTGAGCTGCACTTGAGTCACAACGGTGCCGGCACCGGCATGCAGGTCTGCGTGGACTGTTCCCAGCCCCTCTGGATGTTCTTCGTTTTACACGGCGCGGTCACACAAATTCGATTGTTGGGTAGGTCAGACCTCCTTTTTCCAAACCTTAAGCACCACACAGCAAGGGGGAAGGGGATACGTTGCAGGGGAGGGGTGGAGGGAATGAATGACTCCCTCCTGGCTCTAGGATCAGGTGCAAATTTTATTTTTAAAAAGGGAGAATAAAAGACCCCAACAGTCACCCACGTAGCACATGGCTATGAGTTACAGCCCTTGCCTCTTTGCACTTCTCTAGCATCCTTCATGGTCTCAAAGTTCTTTTCAGATAATGAATTAAGCCTTAGAGACTTCCATTAAAGTACAGATGAGTCACCACTGACCCAGGAGAAGCAAGGAAGGGGGAGGGAGAGGTGCTTTGGGCTGAGCTAATGTAGGGCATGGCCAGCAGGAAAAACGAGACCTGATTCCCCTTTCTGCCTGTTAGCTATCATCTGGCGTGACTGCTTGCCAAAAAGCATGGTCCCCTTGCTTTCCCCAGGCTGGTATGTGAGAGGCAGGATAGCAAGCAGAGAGGAATCCTCATGATCCCAGCAGTGCAGAGTGTGGCACTAAGCAGCTCAATGGGTCCTCCAGCCCCATTTAAGGCTTGAGTGTAGCTCCTGCAGGTTGATGGACCTCTGAAGAGCTGGCCTCTTTCCCTTGATATTTTCTTAACAAAAGTACTTCATTTAAAGGCTGAAAATCATGTTTTGAAGCTGTGGAGGGAAAAGCCTTGAAATAGCACTTGCTCGGGATAAAATATACTCTTTTGTGTCTGTGTGTATTGGACACAAGCGTAGGTTGTGTTTGGCCGTGCATTTGGACCATGTCATGGTTCTGTTGGTGTCAGTGTCAGAAAGTAAATTATGGATTCTGAGAAAATGATGTAATTCCTGGTACTCCTCTAACTGGAGATGATTTAAAAATGCTCCTTTCTTGTTTAAACTGTTATATTCATATAGTTTCAAATATACTTATATTCCTTTTCGCTTCAAGGTAAAATGCCCCTCTTGCCCAACAGGAAAAAAACAATGACACCTAAACCCCAAAGCCAACCAACACCTCTGTTTTTAGGATTTATAGACAATCTTTGAAGATAAATTGTGGTGAACATACAGGTCTGTCTGCAGGATCCAGTTCACCTTAATCACAGTATGAAGTGCCCTATATAATTTGCTTAAAGTTGACCATAGCCCTGTGCTGGGAGTGTTTTTTGGCTGTTAAAGGCTCACAGATGACAAATGTAATACTGCAATTTATTTCCAGGAGCCCAGGACTCAATCCCTGATAATTCAACCTGATTACATTTGTTGTGGGTACTGTACATAAGCCGTGGCTAGCTCTGCTCTCCACCAGCATGTCTTTGTGCTAATGGTAGGTGAAGTCAAACAGATCCCACTAAAGCAGAAGATTAAATGCCCCTGTATACGTTAGAAGGAAAACATCCTCAGGTCATTGAGCTGCTGGTCAAGCTAAGTCATCAGCCAGTGCTTCCTTTCATATGAGATCACTGATTCAGGCAGCTTTGCACAGAGTGAATACCCTGCTTGCAATATGTCCTGAAAGAGGGCAGGGAGGATGTGTCCTCCTACAGACTTCAGCAGAGCATGGGCTTGAACACAGCCCTCCCACGTCCTGGGTAAACCAAACCAGTACGCTCCCAGGCCCAGCTTTAGATAAATCTGCGTTTAGATCTATGAAATGAAATCTGCTGAGCTGGAAAACTCCTCACTACCTGTATTTGTGGCCACATAACAGACTTTTCTGGCCTCTGCCACTGGAGGAGAAGCTGAAAATGGGCTGTTGTTCTTAAGTGAGATGTCAGTGAAAAGAACCTGCGGGGTGTACAGCTTTATCCATACAGCTTTGTCCACGTCGGTTTGGGCAGCAAGCTGAATTTCACTGAATTTTTAGAGTTGGAAGGGACCATAGAGACCATCTAGTCCAACTGCCCTGCTGAAGCAGGATTGCCTTAGAGCTAGAGCATGTTACTCAGGAGCATCCAGGTGGGTCTTGCAAATCTCCAGAGAAGGGGACTCCACAACCTCCCTGGGCAGCCTCTGCCAGGGCTCTGTCACCCTCACTGTGTGTGAAGTAGTTTTTTCTCATATTTGAGTGGAACCTCCTATGTTCCAGCTTGTGCCCGTTGCCGCTCGTCCTCTCACTGGCAACCGCTGAAAAGAGTCTGGCTCCCTCCTCCTTCAAACCACCCTTTAGGTATTTACAGGCATTGCTAAGGTCTCCCCTCAGCCTTCTCTTCTCCAGACTAAAGAGTCCCAGCTCTCTCAGCCTTTCTTCATAAGGGAGATGTTCCAATCCTTGAATCATCTTGAATCAAACTGCTACCTCCCAGTTAAAAGCTATGAAACTGGAGCTTGCCTATAGTCTTTGACAGGTACTAAAATACAAATAGAGCTTCTCAGACCTTATGTTTCCAGTACAACAGTGCTGGGAGCAGTACAGTCCCAGTATCAGTACAGTGGAGCTGCCCTGGGAAGGGCACTGATGCTGTCCCAACACTGCACGTCTCTGCAACTGCAGTAATTATGTGGCTCAGCAATATCCCGACAGAAGGCAAAGAAAATAATGAACTCCCATCTCTAGCTTTTGCAATGCGATTAGGGAGGCGATGTGCGCTGTTTGCACTGCAGTGGAACAGATTATGGTGCTTGCCATAATATCTGTCATTATAATATTAGAAAATGTAAGAAGAATATAAAGTGTTCATCTTTCTAATGACAAGCTCCGTCTTCAGAATGCAAACAAGAGTAATTTTGTGTGATCTATCCTTTGTAGTCTGAGTTTTACAGCACGGGAGAAGACATGTTTATAGTCATCTTTTTCTACTTTTAATGGAAAAAGTGAAGTTCCATATCCTTGAAAGAAATGAGACACAAATACTGCAAGAGGGATAATTGTACCAAACCTATCTTAAATAGCATATGTCATTCTATTTCTGGGGGCATACCATTATTAGATTAATCAAAGCAATGTTACGCAACGTTAAAAGAACATCAGCACTACAGCCAGCTATAAAATGAAATTAAAGTTGCTGGGTTTGCTTCTTCTCCAGCTTTTCTGTTTTATTTGGAGGATAGAGAAGGTGAAGAGCAGCAATGCCACTCTTGTACCTAGAAGCTTATTTTTGACTCAGATAACAAGATGGCTCAGGGTTTTGAACACCGGGTACTACATTTCATGCCTTGAGATTACTTAGTTGGTCCTGACCCAGAGAAGGACCAAGCTTAGGTCTACCCTGACTTGTGGCTTTACCATAGAAGCCGAAGTTTACTGATCGCAGTCATCCCACAGTGTTGGAGATACAAGTATTGATATTTAAAATATACAAGTATTTATTTTCTAATGTAGATACCAGGGGAGATCATCTCTATCCAGACTCATGGTCTTACAGGGAGCTCTGTAGGAGAGGAGGGGAGTGTGGGGTTGGTTTGATAGTAAAGAGTTCTGATTTCTGTTTCTATCTAATCAATCAGGCATCATATACTGGCAATATATTTGCTGTAGGAGAAATAAAATAGCAGAAAATAAGGACAAGGTTGGAAGCATTATTTGTCTTTATGTCACCTCAGCAATGAAAAATAAAGGAAACCCAAGCCCCTCCATAGCCTATAGAGGCAGTGGGAGCTGGAAGGATGTCAATTAGTTGCAAAGAAAAGGTTAAAAGGCAACTTGACCACATGAAGGGAAGATAAATGAAAGAGGAGGGCATTTTAATATAGCAGATAATAGCATAAAAAATACCAAGCTGCTGGAAAATGAAGGGACACAAATTTAAATTAAACATAAGTGAGGGTAATTAACTACAGGAACCAGCTATTGAGGGAGGCAATAGATCTTTGTGTCAGGATTGGAAGCCTTTCTAAATATTTTATGTCTAAAGTGCTGGTCTCAATTCAGAAATTCTGTGGGTTACGCACACAGGACAACCAAACAGAAACCCAGATCATTAAGCATGTAGAAATGAAACAGTCTTTGCGTATCCTTTAGGAATTCCATTAGTTCAGGCTTGGGTTGGTTTTTTTCAGGCATCATTCCTGTACAGTCGACAAAACCAGCCTATTAAATTTGATTTACTGCTTTCAGCTTTTGCTGGTAAGCATTTCAGCTCACACACAGTTTTATTGACAGCTCTGAAAAGCTGAAATGAGCCAGTCTGGATACATCGGTCTGGTTTTGGTCTGGTTTTGGTGGTGTAATTCGTTTATGAAGTTAAATTGATCGACCCCATAAGGTTTTAAAATGTATGACTCATGTCTGGAGGAGCTATCACAGCAATAAGTTTATATATTTAGTATTTGAGGATCCAAATGGTTGGGGATATTCTTTCATTTTCTTTTGTCTCACAGTGAATCACCAGCATGTAAAACATCTTCCTTCGTCTCCTTTATTTTGTTGTTTTGGTGTGGTTTCCCTTGTGAATTTCATCCTTTCCAGTAATTTTGAAATTGTCTTTTGAGCGATGAAATAACATGTTCCATCAACGGTTCATACTAATGAAGCTGAGTTGCCAACTTATCTGTGTCCTTTCTGTCCGTGGACTTGAATTACTCCAGCCCCACCAGCACAGCTGCGCGATACTGCAGCTCTCTGGATGTCTCCTCATGCTGGCCAAGAGCCAGCATCAGGCCTCAAAAAAAACAACCCAGGAGCCAGCATTTGGTGTGGGTAAGTCCCTGTTCACATCCCTGCTGGATAAATGCAGAGTGTGTTTGAGCTAAGCTCTCCTTTACCGTGAGCTTTGAGTTGGGGCTCCTACTCAGCTGCCCATTGCAAGGTATTTAGAAATCAGTTGCTGCTGAGGTTTCCATCCTTCTTTCAGGTGTTCATGGAATTGGGCAATGGGCTCAAAATCATGCAGGCAAGGAAAGAGCTGGCCAGTTGCTCCCCGACTGTACCAGGATTCCAGTATCCCATGGCAGAGCACCTATCTCTTCCAAAACAGGTCTCTACTCTGGGTGCAGTTACATACTTTGCTCATACCATTAACTGCAGAGAGCATGCAAAATATTTAATGGCCCA